ATATAATTAAGTATACGAGTAGGTGTAAAAAAAGACTTATCCGCTCCAAAAAAGTTGACTGAAGAATGAATAATATCGAACAGACAAACTCCTACATAAGCTATCTGAACTTTAAAGTTCATTCATCCGTTCAGAATACACACACAAAAAGTTACTGAAAGGATAAATATTTTCATCAGCCTTCTTTGATAAATCAGTGTTTTAGTTTAAAAGCGAAGGCAAATTAATGTGTTCGTTCGATTTGTTTGGTATACTTCCCTCTGTTTGGTGTAAGTATCAATAGGTCTTAAATAAATAATCAGAAACAAGGGCGGAAGGGCCTAAGTACGGGACATTAACAAGGGTCCAGTCCAATTTTCGTCCTGTCCACGTTGATATATTGAGGGCCGATGTGAAACCGTGGCCCACCGCGCTGGCTGACGACACAACTCATTTACTTTTTTCACCAGATCCCGAACACAATAATTGCATTGCGATAGGTAAGTACCAAAGTCGAGTTACTAACATGGTTTTAGTTTGTTGTCATATCTACTTGCAATGATATCAATCACTTATGCAAAAGTCAGTACCTTTACCCATAGTAGGTACCTAGGTTAAAAAACAAAAATCTATTATGAATAAGCCCATACTTCGAAAAAAATCCACAAAAACAACTAGGTAAACATTGAGTCAAATACTTTTTTTATTAAAGTGTAAATTAGCACTGGCAGGTCTTAGAGAAAAACAGTAGGTATTTACGGAGAATACTTATGAAGGCGTCTACAAGTAGATTGTCCAAGTTCGTACACAACTAATCAAGTCGCCTCGCTACTTAATTTTTTTAACTACTAACCAGGGACATCTAAAAGGGATACCTAGCCCATTTAGATAATATAGGTATACAAGCATAGTTATATATCATATATAAATAATTACTGGAAATAGATAAACATGTATATTTAAAATTGACAATTAATTATTACAAAAAGTATCTAATTGCTATTTTTATCCATTTCAATTGAACTAGAATGGATGAGACTCCGGCCCTGCCCACCGCACTAACTATACTCATTCTTCTTTCTTCATACAAGCCATTTCCTTGTGGAATAAGCTTCCCTGGGATATCAGAGCTGCAACCAGCCGGTTGTGTTTCAAGCGGAGGGTGCGTGAGTAGGTACATAAGCAAGAAGATGGTACTAGGGTTTCACTTGCATTATAAATTGGCCACATTATATTATTAGTAACAGTATTTATTTATATTATGTGTATTTGTTATGGACGCAATTATATATAAACCTATATATTATTTTTATGTATGTAACTTTTAGAATTGATTTACCCCTCCACTTCCCATCACTTCCTAAATTGCCGTATATCACCTACCACACATCTCTGCACTACCAAAAGGTTGACTGGCAGAAAATGCTTCTAGTATTAAGTTCTCCGATATGCAAATGTATATAAAGAATAAATAATCAATACCTATTGGTTCCGTAATCCCCGTATATTAGTACTACTACTTATAACGTCGAATTCAGAAACATACGTACCTACCTACTCGTTTTTAGGACGTCGGTAAAAAATACAATTTAAAAGGTGTATAAAACCTTTAACTTCATATCGTAAAGTAATAGCTTCAGTAAACTGCTATCGCTAACCATATAAACATTTAGGCGACTAAGAAGCTGGCAGTGTTTGAAAAGGAAAAAGCACCAAACAAAATTTCAGTCTCTGCAAGAAGTTACGGAGGTTAGCGGTACTGACGGTGCTTTAAAAATTCAGTATGTACCCACCCGCCACGCTTGCATTTTTCGAGAGTACTAAAGTCTGCTTCGTTTATATTAAAGACCCTCTATCTATTCGTTTTATCCAGTCCGAAATATGCTTTCACTCTCGTAGCCTCTTCATCCCGTAAAAGAAGCGACTCCTAGACACTAAGACGCATCGCTCGCCTTTCAACTGGAAAAAAAGCGTCGTAGACTTTTTAGTGACATCACCCTACGTAAATAGTTGTTAGGTTGGTTTATTATTACATTAATAATACTCAATTTTGAGATAATTTTGCTATAAATTAGACTGATTAATGACATAAGTGAAAGTTATTTTTTGATATAGTCAAGACGTGCCTTATATTTTAAAAGTTTTGACGAGATAAGCAACAACATCGAATTTGTCGCCAGACTCTGTTACAAGTGTAAATTCACAATATGTCATAACGATGCTTGCCGCTTCTGCCAATGTGATGCATCGTAAGGTTTGACGATAACGCCTAGGGCTTGCTTGGATATTATTGTGTGCTTGGGATCCCTTCAGGGCGTGTGGCCAATCTATCCCCATACACGAAGATTGATTTGGCGGTCGATCGGACTGTTGCGCAATCTTTCTAGTAAAGGCTCATATTGAAAACTGGAAAGTAGGTACCTAAATTAGTTAGGTAACGATTCATTCAAACTTTTACTTGTCGATAAATGTCCTTAATTTCCTTCCACAATAAAATTCATTTGTCATTCAAATATCATTCGGGCTGTATCAGACACTAAGGAATATTTATTAATCTCGGTTTTGTTGGAATTAACCATTTGTAACAATGGCTAATACAGAGCCATGATTATTATTTTTCTCACATTATTTGCTTTTAGTTTGACAATCGGTGCAATTAAGTTGTTACCTTCTATGGACTTCTTCTTCTTCCTCCTCAACTTATTTCCACCAATTAATACCTAGTTAGTTTTTGCATCTTTGTATAACTACGTAGGTTTCCGGTGTTAGTGACCTTGCGAGTACTGCGATATATTTCTTTCCATTTCTGACAGTATTGTAACTGCTTCAATGCGAAAATCATTATCACTCACGATGACAAACTGATGAAGCTTTCTTCTCTCCTCGATTCACGTACCTATGCTGCGACATCTAATCCACTCGAGACGAAGCAGTTGTATTATCTAGAAAAAACGGGGATTTTAGTCAGTAAGAGCACAGATTACTGAATAGTTACTAGGTACGTAACAGATACTTCACTCAGTAGAAAATTTCCAATACCTATTACGATAATTGCCTACACCTTCGCGTCAGCAACCACTGTATGCTAAAATGCGCCTAAATGCTCAAGCGTACAGCAGTGATTGCTTCACACCGCCGATTCCACAGTAATCGCAGGGCTGCATCTTCGGTAAAATTAAATTAACATAACTTTTTATCTATGTTATTGAGAACTGTGAATATGTTCTGACTTTTACGTGGCAGTTAAAAATTTTATCATTTTTTTTTTATGTAATAGCTCGGCAAACGAGCAGGCGGATTACCTGATGGTAAGCAATCAGCGCCGCCCATGGACACTCGCAACGGAGGAGTTACGAGTGCGTTGCCGACCTTTTAGGGTTTAGGGATTTGGAGATTTAGGGATTGAGGAGGGATTGGGAAAGGGGAAGGATTGGGCCTCCGGTAACCTCACTCACACGGCGAAACACAACACACATTATAAAATATTTAAAACTGGCAGTGGTTGGATGAGAAGAGCTGAGGATCGAGCTCAGTGGCATGCAATTGGGGAGGTCTATGTCCAGCAGTGGACGACAACAGGCTGATGATGATAATGATAAAATATTTAAACAACTTAAAAAAAAGGAGGTGATCAGACATACGTACAGGCCAAACTGAGAAGTTTGGCCTGTATGGTATGTATGTTTGTGCGCGATAATCTCGCGTTTGGCTAAACCGATATCGATGCGATTTTCAGAAGAGGATTTGTTACATTTAGGAGAACGTTTTGAAATAAGTATAATACTTCTTAGTTTGATGATAATCTTCGGAGATGTTCACTAGAAATGAAAAAAAAGCCTTAAAAAAAGAGAACCGACTTCAAATAAGGCACTAAGCCGTAAGAAATAACAGCACTATTAGAAGTCGATTAAAAATTGAACGAGGTGCGCGCGCTTCACTTGCGAAAACCGCACTGAATTTGATCCGCCGGCGGACCGAGACCGCTCGGCTGGGCGGTAGGCACTCATAGCGCGCAAGTACATGGCGTGACGGAGGCCTGGTAAGAGTCTGACACTCGCTCTAGCCTCACCCCAGGCGGGAGAAGTCATTTGATGAATTTCCCCTCAAAAAAAAAAGGATCTTCGCAATGACCTGATAAAACCAAACCAAGTTTAGGCTTCTTTAAATTGTCCTCATGGTAACTACTTAAGAGTGTTTTATAAGTTTTTTAAACACCGCTGACTTACGGTGACAAGAAATCATCATAGAGAAACTTGCCAACCGCCTGCACTTGTCTCCAGACCATGATAAATGCTTAATATCTTTTCTCTGTGAGATGAGGCTGTTGCTCCGCATTTGGTATTTATGGGCTGATGATGATGACTACTATATATGGGCTGATGATGTGGGAGGGAGTGTCACACTCTTACTGACTAAAAACCCCCCTGTTCCTTCTCGTGCTCTGGGCCGAGGTCGCGGTGCCTCATTGCGCTTACCCCGCAACCCCGGCTGAACATCAGCCCTTTAGGGCCCCGTCTGTGGTAGTCTATTGGCTCTTTGAGGCGCCGTACGCTCGGGCCTGGTTCTGGTCGGGCGGCGAGCTGCCCTTACTCGCCGACTGCAGATCCGTGGTCGGAGCTTACGGTGGTCGGAGATCGTCCCTTGATCCCCGATGCCCGTAGTGTCGCCAGTTGCGGCGGCTGGGGCGTGAGGAGGAGGATTGCTCCCTCTTTGCGAGCATAACTGCTTCACAGAAGGAGGAGAGTCCCAGTTCCTCTCAGACTACTGTAGAACTTCGTTAAACATTGGTTAAACTTTAATCGGCGCTAGTAGCTTGCTGATTGGCTATTAAGTACAAGATACAAATAAAGTAAACAAACATTAATTTATCAGTAAATAAATCTTTCTTAAATTAAATCAATCAACGTTAAAACTCATCTGTACACTTTGTTCTTTTTTCTCGGCTTGATAAAATAGCAACACTAAATTTGACGTTTGTAAGCACCATAGACATAATTGTTTATTTATCCTTTAATTTAATTCCTTTAGTCTATGACCTAAAGTTTGTAAATGTCTTGCTTGTTGAACGGTGATCACTTTGATCATTATTGTTTTGTTGGAAATAACTCGTTGAATATTTGTGTTATATTTAATCCTAAATTCTATTTTGTTACTTAGACAGCTTAAGATTTTGGAAGATATATTTTTACTTTCAAGTTACAATGGAAAATAGCGTTACTTGGCCACTTCTGAAGTCGTGCAAAAATATGAAAACAGAATTTTCAAATCTGTGTAAAATACCTATAATCTCAGATGGTGTAAGTAGAGTAATGTTAATTCTTAGTTTGGTTGAACTATTTAAATGGTTAATTCAACGTGGATGTTAACAATATTTGGTTAGTGAGTAATAATCAAATCAACTATAGACATGCTTCCTTTAGCAAATAACTTGTAAGGATACTTACATGTGCACACATACAATGTACCACTCACTTTTCATCATCATTTGTCTGTAAGTCTGTCAGTCTGTAGTAAAGGTGAGGCAATGGCCATACCATTCATTTGTTTTGATTACCATCCTTAAAAGTTTGATTGTATTATACATGGTTAAGTAGTACATACCAATTAATTTTAGATCCACCCTTTAGCTGCTTAGCTTGTTACAAATTAGAATGATCAAATAACACAGTAAACATCACTTTAAATTCTCTAGCAGTCAGTCAGTTTAGATTGCGATATCCAACATCAACACACCTAGAAAAACGTATAACCAGGCTAAATACTTATCAGTCTCACCTATGGTCATAAGATCCAACTTATTAGTTTTTCATTGTTTAAGTTCACAATTGGCCGTGGTGTTTGGAATTCTGTGGTGGTGCCATTCATCGCAATCTCAAGAAATCACTGCAAATTTAAAAAAGGTGACAATAATGAATGGATTCTTGAAGATTATAGTACATTTGGTATAAAAGTCAATGGTGAGACTCTGGGCAAGGGGCTTCAGAAAATTTTATCAAATAATGATGTTATATCCTTAGAACCAACTAATGAATTTGTGTACAACTTTGTCATACCTTCTCAAGACAGTGATAACTATGAAACCCCTAGAAAGCGTATTAAAATTGAAGACACTCATGGTAACCAAATTATTGATGATGTAAAAATGAAGTTTGAAGAGTCACAAACATTTGAATTAAAGCATATAGAAGAAAAGATACAAAATGCCAAACAAATGCAAAATACATCAATGATATTAAAGAAACAATTACAAACAGATATGAATAGAAAAATTCATCAGCTAGAAAGTGAGTTTGCATTACAAATAGAAAATTTAAAAGGAGAAAAAGATGAAGTCGAACAACAAAAGATTAAACTTATAGAAGAAAGAGACATGCAGCTGGCTAGTGTTAAACAGGACATGGAACACAAAATTAGTGAACTCATGGTAAGTTAGATTAACATAATATCATAATACTCATCTAATTAATTGACAGACTGCATGGTTGGCGCGGTGGCTGAGCAACTTGCTGCCATGCAACGTTCTGCGGGTTCGATTCCCGCATGGAACAAGTCTTTGTGTGATCCAGATATTGTTGTTTCGGGTCTGGGTGTGCTTGTGCATGTTAAATTGTATGTTTCTAAATGCACCCATGACACAGGAGAAAATCCTAGTGTAGGCAATGTTTCTTTAAAAAAAAATGATAAGCTAAGGAACTTTGAAATTAATTTATAACTTTTAATTTCAGTTTCTAAAAGCATATGTTTAATTTACAGGAACAAATTCAGAAACACAATGAAACCGAGTCAGAATTACTTAGAGAAAATAATTTACTTAAAGAAAAACTTACAAAAGAACGAGAAGAGTTCTTGTTAGAGTTAAATAAAGAGAATAATTCAAAACAAGAAATGTTAGAAAAACTTAAAGCAAAATTGCAGGAACAAGAAGAGCTACAATTAAAGGAACGACAGAACTTTGTCAATATGCTTCAAAAGGAAACTGAACAGCTAAGATTAGCTAAAGAAAAGGTACTTACATATATAAAATTCCTTTCATTTCATTCCATTTTTTTTTAATAAATAAAATAAAAAAAAACAATCTAGATGGAATTACCCAATATAATACAAAGCATCCATCATCACAAGTTATTCAATACTTCAAATTATTTTTATTTATATAATTCCTTGTCATTTTTCTTTTCCCTTAATTCACAGGAGTTAAAAGAGCTAGAAGAACAAAGAGTGCAAAGAGAAAATGAATTGAAGGAAGAATTAAATAATATAAAAAAGAATCTTGAGAGTAAAATTCAACAATCAGAACTAGAGAAACAAAAGACTGAACAAATGCTGCATGAGCAAATGGAGCATATGAAAAAACTTAATGATGAAGAGCAAATAAAAATGAAAGATTTGGTAAAGTGTTTATTATTATTTAATTGTTAATAATAAGTTGTTTCTAGCAAAAAATCCTAACTGGACTGTTGATGTTTGTATATTGAATTTAGAAAATAAGTCTGACCATAATTATGGTCATTTAATTTAATTATTTATACTTTTGAAGGAAACCTTCTACTTAAAAATGTTGACAATACTGTGGTAAAACGACATGCTTTGCTGCTGCGGATCCGTTCATGGACTCGCCCATTTGACCGCTTTTATATTGCGTGACTGTTTATTTTGTCACCAATCAAAACCTCGACAAAAATCCAACCAAAACTTAGTAGAGTTTAGGGAAGCCAAACAGAGTTTTACATATGAGTTTAAATTAAATTTTATTAACACTATCGAAAAAACTCATTATAACGCCTCATGCTCTGAGTGGTTAGTTAAATTGACGCAGTAATCAGGGAGCCGAACGACTTTAACGTGTCGATTATGTTACTGTAAAGTAAACTTTGCAAAAGTCTAGTAGTAAGTACTTTTTGTGCTAATAATAAATCTTCTGAAGTCATCCTTTCTATTTTAGATGAAAGAAAGAGAAGAATTGGAAAAGAAATATAATGAAGCTCAATCTAGTGCTGAAAAATCCCTTGAAGAATTAAAGGTAAAAAAAGTATTTTTGTAATAACGTGTTTTTAAACATTTCTAGTGCTTATATTTTTTTAAAGACTATCCCCTTATTACAAAACAAGTCTTATCTTTAGTCCAGGTTTAAACCATTGAGTCGGGTTTTGAATTTTGAATCTTATTGTCATTTACCTTCAATTCGAAATACGAAAACTGCCTCAATGGCTTAGTCCTAGACTAAAGTAAAACTTTGTTTTGTAATAAGGCCGTATAGGTATTATACGATAATAATAGAAAAAAATTAAATCTTTTTTTTTTCTTGTTACTTGCAACTATAGATGCGAGTAACAGAAAGAGAAACAGAACTGGCCGCATTAGCAGCAGATCGTATTCAGAAACAGGTGGAACAATCCAGTGCAGTCATTAATACTTTGCAAGAACAACTTGAAAAGGTAAAACAATATCAAATCATCACTTGTGACTACAAATCATTACTTGTGACTACAAAGCTTTATAACTTATAGTCTAGCAATAATTTGGTAATTTCCAACTAATCAAATTCAAAACTATTGAAATGTCAAAAGCTTTTCTATAAATTATGTATGAAATCGCACAATGTTGATGAACATATATTATTATGACGTCATAATGTTTTTAACGTCAAACAGCAAAATTACTTTCTTTTTAAAAGTAAACTAAAAATATTTTAAATTTACTAAAATGTCAAATCAATGAATGAATACGTACAATTCTATTTTAATAATTCATTGTATTAAAAAGTCAAAATAATTCATTTTTGACCTCGGAAACTACCCAATGAATGTTACTGTACACAACTTTTAATTAATGAGAATGAATGATAAATAAGTATGCTGTGAATATTTTTAGATTTTTTTTTTATTCTTTTCAGGTCACAAGTCAACTTCAGACTGTAGAAAGTGAAAGGAACACAATATTGGAAAACATTGCTGCTCCATCTAAAGCAAGTGAACAGTCATCAAAAGATATGGTGCTTACAGAAATGGGTGAACTAATGGAGAGTGAATTGCAGTGCAGTATATGCAATGAACTATTTGTAGAGGCCACCACACTTAACTGCTCACATACGTTTTGCAAATATTGCATTTCTGTGTGGAAAAAAAAGAAAAGAGATTGTCCTATATGCAGGTAACTGTGTAGCAATAACTTTAAACCTAAAAACCTCACTAAAATTACCAGTTTATACCTTTCAATCCCCTACATAAAATTAATTTTGCGCTTCGCAAAAAGGGTGCAATAAAAACACATCACACACATAACCCATCCAAACGAAAAGTTGAAGGGACCTTTCGCCACTTTTCGCTCCTTCACTAAGCATTCTTAGAAGATATAATTATTAGAAAATAAGGTCGCAACCCGTCCTGAATGTGCGTTTATTTGCGGACAGGTTGCTTTGCTAGCTTGCTGCAAAATCATCTATTCAATATCAGAATTAAAGCTAGATATTTTTAAATTAGTATGGATTTCTGCAACGCAACGCCTGATTTTATTCACTCAATAATGAAAATACGTTTTTATCTCATGAGAATAAATATAGTATTTTCTTGCCCTTTATTCTTTCTGCAATAATATTGTCAAAATTTCAGAGCACCTATCACATCGGAATGTAGGAGTCTAGTATTGGATTCTTTTATAGAGAAAATGGTACAGAGCCTAAGCGAAGAAATGAAACAAAAAAGAAAAGAAATCTTGGAGGGCAGAAAAGGTGTGTAAACAATTTATTTTCTTCCATGTACCTATATATTTTTTGTTCTTTCATTAACAAACTAACTGTTATACTAAAAGGACTTTAAAAGTAGTTATAGTTATACATATTTTATAGTACAATTACAAGATATTTTTTATGGAATATATATTTTTTTTTCTCTTTTCGAGTTATATTTAAAATTATACACTAGTCATATTTACAAAAAAAAATCAAAAAAAGACATTAATACATTGGGCGTGTCTGACTCTGTTTTAATCATTTTTTAATAGTCATTGATCTTTTAGAGACGCTTTTTCGAGTAACAATGCTATGTTTCTTACCACTTTTAAGTAAGCAAGGATAGCAATATTAACACAATACAAACAATATTAAAAGTTAACAAAAATTACAACAAACACACAATGAGTTTTACTAGACATTTACTGTTATTCTAGCGGCATTTTAAATGGTGTTGTTATTTATTGTGATAGCGTAGAATAAAAAAATCTATTGTTTTAAACGTTGTTTTATTTTGAGCAATTTTATAATGTAAGACAAATCAGTGGTTTATTTACTAGTCAAAAAGTACACGTCTATATGTGAAACTGATTTAAAAAGAGTAACCATCGAGTTTCTTGCTCGTATATTGGAAGCTACACTTTGGAACGAGCAAATAGCTTCACTAAGCGGACTGACCGACAGACTGGCACCTCTTTAAGTTTTATTTGACGTTAAATAGTGCCTGTTAGGGGCTAATTAAAATAAATGATTTTAATTATGGCCTTGTTAAGTATCTACGTAAACGGGCGTTGTCAATTGAGACTACTCTAAACCGTATTAAGTTATTGTTGTTACGATTCATGTCAACATGTCATGGGTTCGATTTCAATACGGGAACAACTCATTGTCATCTAAAAAATTTAGTTTCTGGCCTAGGTATAATTCAGATACACGTAATATTTGTATAAGTATTTTTGTAAAGGCACCATGGAGAACATCTATAGAGTGTGGCAACTTCTTTTTTGCAAAGAAAGTTAATGAAATATATAGAAAAAGTAACCATGAAGTTTCTCGGTCGTTCGTTTTCATAGGAAACATAAAGAGCAAATAGCTTCACAGACCACTAACACACTGATTGACGTTCAAAAGTACCTTTATGAACGCAGCTTCATATTCATAAAACCATAACAATATAGTAGTAGTACTAAATATGTTGTTATAATAGGTACTTACAATTGAATATAAGAATGCATATCAGCAAAAGTAAGCGTTGTTTTACTATTGAAAACTAAAATATTGAGTTTATACCAATACCTATGAAATTTACGTTATTCTGCAAATACACTTACGTATGCAAGTTGATCAAACGCAATAAAGCCCGATTTACAGAACGATATATGTACATAATGAATTATGAAAAAAAAAATAGTTTTTTATATAATGTACCAAGAACAACATTTCCATTAGTTATGTCATAGGTCGTCATAGAGTTTAGTATTTGGTGGATCCTTATTAGGTGTCGAGTTACGCGGTTCTTTCAAATACATATATCTAATCAAAATATCAATCGTGTAACTAATAATATTAACTACTAACTTAAAGGGCAAAGGGTAACCCGGGTCACGGCTTCGACAGCGGGGAATCACAGATGTGATTGTAGCTAGTAAGTGGCACTAGCCCTCGTAACCCTACCGCGAAGGCAATCCATGAAAATTTTTATAGCGTTATTAATGAAAGGCAATGGGGTAGTTATTGTGACGTGAATAGCTTTATGAAGCTGTATTGGTTACAGAACTCGAGTCGGAACAGGCCCGGCAGTCCAACGCTAACACCAGCCGGTATGCACATACACTTCTATATTATTTATATGTACAAATATATAACATACTTTTATTTTGAAACGTAATGGTGCGTTCACACCAAACGATAAGAAATTAAGAATATATTTAAATGAAATGAAAAGCTGAAATGTGCTGTCTGGTCTGTTCTTTTAAATATAATAATGTAATGTAGATTAAAAAAACAAGAGACTTTTGGTCCGACTGTATTTTCGTTTGGTCTGGACACGACACGACGCCCTGGCAGGCTTCGGAACTGTCAATTCAAAACATTTCTTAAATAGAATTAAACACAATGTTAAGAGCACGGGCACCGCGGCGCATTCAGTGCACGGATGCGCGACGCATTTTAGCTGCGTCTTTAATTTTGTTTGACAACGTGGATCTATGTTTCCACTGGGTTACAATACCAGATTACATAATCGTGGGTCACATTCTTGTACAGTAATATAGCGATATTCGAGGGTCATATTCATGTACTCCAGGGGAAGTGGTAGACTAATGCTGTCAAAAAAATTAATACACGACAGCTTTAATGCGCCGCGTACCGCTGCACAGCATGCACCACAGTGGGCCCGCGCCTTTAAAGACACAGTTAGAAACCGTTAATGGTCTTCGTGCCTATTCAAAGTCACCTCTTTTTATTTTTATCATGTGCAACGCTGGGTCATCTTAAACCCCTGTCAAAATATCTTAAAAATTGTTATAATTAGTACGGAAATATAAGACACAGTTTTAACCTGATCTGATATTGTGTACCTAATATCCGGATGTACCTCGTCAGTCCTCCCTTTCTCCTGTCTAAGTGGTTAAAACATCTATACCCAGAAACTAATCGTAGGATCACAGCCACCCTATTAATAATATCATATAATATAATGTTTAATACAAAGCTTTTGAAGTAATCCAAGGCCTGCATTATTTACAGAGGAGATAGCAGCAGCTACAATTCGGCAGACGACGAAGAGTACTCCGAATTCGCGGAGAGCGAGGAGGAACCAGAGGCAGAGTAAGTTTACCATCATATTACTGCTATTTTCAAGATTGAGGTGATAGCCTTCTTTTCGCCGTTGTCATCAAATAGGTATGTAGTCGGAAACACGTTAAGCGCCATGGGGGTCACCGGTGACCTCCGTTAGCGGAGGATTTGCCTTCAACAATTTTCTGTCGGCAGTCAAAGGCTTAATATAGCAGAGACTGTTTTTCCGAAATCATAGTATACCGCTCTTTTGTCATCTACATGAGGGCCGTAATCCGCAGTGATGATTGAACCGATAGCTATTCACGTAGTAAACACGTACAGCAGATCTACTGTTTGTGTCATCCACAAATTGTTGTTCCGGGTCTAGGTGGCTTGTGAAACGGATAGTTGTGATATAATTTGTTGCCATAGCAAACCTATTTCTTGAAAATCAGCTAGCAAACGTAAACTTAGGGCCTAAAAGGTCGAGCACGCTGTTATAGCAGTTGTAAGACCCCCTCCTGCTTTGGATCCGGCTGGAGAAGGCCGCCGCCGCGTCCTCAGGGAAGTGATCGGTGGCGGCAACCTCTCGCAACTGACCTTAGTTGAGGCCATGCTGCGGAGCAGAAGAAACTGGGAAGCCGTCACCACTTACATACACAATACACTCACTGCGAGGCAGTGCTTTTCGCAAACGAGGTGGCGGAGTGCGTGAGGGAACTATCCTCTTCACGATCTCCGGCTAGTGTAGACGGCGAGCGAGGGTAGCTCGCCGCTCGACCAGAACCAGACCCGAGCGTACGGCGCATAACGTTCTGCGTGCTACGCGCCTCAAAGAGCGAATAGACCACAGACGGGGCCCAACATAGCCAATACATAGCTAGGGCCGCGGCTCAAAAACAATAAAGCGTCGTAGCCTCGGCCCGACGTAAAAACGTTCCTTCTCCTGCTCCAGCAGTAAGAGTCTGATACTTTCTCGCTCGCCATACCCTGGGCGAGAGAAGACACTTGATGAGTTGCCCACCTTAAACAGGGATAAAAAGATGTGGTAAAAATATGTCTGAAAAGGCGCTCAGATATATTTTCTGAAAAAGAAAAGAGTACCTATGTGTATTTATTTATGTACACGCATTAGAAATTATACTTATAATGAAAAAATGTTTTTTTTTGTATATGTATATGGTAATATGTAATATGTAAATGGTAATTTTTAATTAACGATATAAATACATTATACTTTCTGATGATTAATCTCAAATCTGTATGCACTCAAAACAGTTTATTCCAATCAGTTCAGTCACTAATAAACAGTAAACAGTTGTACTGCTACTGGCCAAAAACTTCAAATATTTTATATATTAATAATTATCACAAATCTATTTTAAAATTAAAAATTTTATATGTAATGTTTACAGCTACTTCTTCGGTGGCGATGATGGCGAATACGGAAATGAATGGAACACCGAGAGTGACGATAGTAGACTTGACAGTGACGACGCCTATGGTGGTCGGGGTACGTAAATATTAAAATAAAAATTGCTACAATCAATAAAAATAATTTAATTTATGAATTTATACAATTATCTGATTCAAGATTCAAGAAAATATTAATTGAATTATTTCGACATAAAGTCATTTAGCATTAAGATATTGTTATGTTATTTTTAAGATAATTAAGTTACTTATGTAATTTTACAGTCGGAAGTAGTAGTGGTAACAGAAGAATTGCGGAGGTAATAGAAGGACATCCTGACGCTTACTACGGCGGCTATGGGCGATGCTACAGTTGTGGTGCCCGCGGCCATTGGGCGCCCGGCTGCCCCTTTAGATAACAGCCTAAATTCGGCCACCGTTTCTATTCAAGCTAATGAAATTGTCATTTTATAATTTCATTCATTTCTTATGTAAACATGTGTCATCGATTGCTTCAGTTATGTAAATAAGTCAGCAATTTTATATAAAATGAACGGCCTGTTATGGCAGCCATCAATAAATTTTAAATATACTTTAGTGTTAAGTGCGAAATTGTTGAGTTCAAATGTATACGTTGAAACCGAAATGCAGTTTCAAAATGGAAATATATCTTGTAAAATTATCTCTAGCGCCATAAATAATATTTATCTACACATCTTATAAAGGGCAAATTTTAGGTGTGCTTGAATTTTCAAACTTTTGGTTTGACCAAACACTGCCTCCCATGCCACTTGCTTTCTACACATGCATTACCTCCATACGGTAGCTCCCAACTAGTCAGATTCAATAATTTATTGAAATATCAAAAATGAAACTTCTATGAATTGCGTATGACACTGCAACATAGCATACTTAATGCTGAAAAATTACATATATCGTCAAAACAATGAATGAAAGTACCATTGTATTTTATTACAAACTATGCAACATTGTATTGAAAAATAATTTATTTTTGACTTAGAAGATTTACTTGTTGCTTAAAATTCGATCTCTAGTTATAGAGCCATATTATCCCTAAATCAAACTAGACAAATACACTAATAGTCCGGTCAATTTAGACCAAAAAATGAGGGTGAAGTAACATAAAGTCCCAACAAGCTGAATTTCTGTGAAATTGTTCAAAACATATTTATAAACAATGTCTAAAAGTTCCCCATCATTCCCCTGTAAGGAAAATTTTTTATTCAAGGTCAAAGGTCAGAAAAATGAGTTTTTCTCGATTTGCAGCAAAACCGTAAGTTTTATAATAAAAGTACCTCCGACAAAAATTGTAGTTCATAACATTATCTATAAAAAATGTATAAACACTTTTTTCTTACGACCCACCGTTTCTGAGATATAACGATGCAAAAAGTTATAAAAGTTGTTGTTGTAACTTCGAATGTCTAAATTGACCGGACTATAAGGCGTCAGTTTGCGTAGAGAAACCAAGGTGCGCTTAATGCTTGCCTAGGGCGTTAATTAGGTTTAATTCTAGGCTAGTTACCAATATGTTTTAATTCCATTGTTTCTAATTCAATTTTAAAACATACCATGTAATTAATGTGTTTGAGGTCGGCGCCCATGATACATTTTGAGAATTTTGACAGAAATTGTAGGTATAGTAACCAAGTCACGCATCTTTCTTATTTGTTGAAAAATATATACTTCGCTGTTATTCTCCCCGTGTTTTCCAGTGACTTTGGCCTGTTATTAAATGATGATTAAGATGAAATCGGAGATCTGTGATACTTTATACAATACATATAAATGTGGAATAATAAATATTAAGGTATATACATTGACTCAGATTGTCCGTTGCCTGTTGTAATTCTATTATTGCTAACGATTATGACATGAAAATCTAAAGAAACGTTTTAAAAAATAGATATTGTTTGAAAATATCCTGCAACCACACTTCACTCTCTAATGTTTAATGGATTGGTGGAATACCAATTTTGTAATACTTACTTAGTTATGAAAAAACGATGATTATAAATACTTTTTATCTATGTTCTGAAAAAAATAATAATTGGAAAGATTCAATTAAATCAATTTTGTACACTTATTGTTTTATTCGTATTTCACGTCAATTGCGCCTGTTGCTGATGATTTGCGTAAGCCGAAAAATCTCATGGGGTTCCTTAACCTGGGCGGAAGCCACTGTCATAGTAAAATCATCATCATCATTCTGGTGTCACGGATATAATAGAGACTTCCATTATGTGGCAGTGATAATGTTCCATTTTCTATTAAAACTTTCATTTTCCGTACATCATCATCATCATCAGCCGGAAAACGTCAACTGCTGTAGAAAGACCACCCCCTCCACGTCGAACGACATGTTGTCACCTGCATCCATTGGCTCTGACTGACGATTGTCGTCGGTAGCGGTCTACCAAGCGGGAGGCCTGCCCACGCTACGTTTTCCGGTCCTTGGTAGCCACTCTAGTACTTCTCGGGCCCATCGGCCGTCCTTCCTTTAAGCGACGTGGCCTGCTCATTAGCACTTCATCCTGTAGATTTTACGAGCTATGTCGGTGACTTTGGTTCTTTGACGAATTTTCGCATTTTAGATTTTGTCGCGCAAAGAAACCCCGAGCAGCCTCCATCGCGCGCTGAGCGACTCAGAGTTTTTCAAGAAGGCCAGAAGTTAAGGACCACGTCTCAGTACCATTCGTCATCACCGGCAACACACACTAGTTAAACATCTTGGCCTTCAAGCACTGTGGGATTTTCGATGAGAAGACACCGTGTCCTGAACGCCGCCCATCCGAGTTGACCTCTTTCTCGTAGTTGGACCTAGCTAGCTGAATGATTTGACTCAAGTATGTGTAATGGCCAACAATTTCAAGGATATCGTTCCCAACGATGACCGGTACAGGTTGGGTTGGCAACATGGACATTTGACATGATTTTCGTCTTATCCACGTTCATTTTTAAACCGGGAAAATGGCATCGAGGTTGCTGAGCATGGTGTTCAGGTCCTCCAATGACTGCCAAACATCTGCAACTCTGCCAAAACGACTACCTATATCCGTTCCCGTTCAAGAGCTTGAAAACGTCCTCTAATGCGTTCGTGAACAGTTTCGGAGAATTAACGTCTCCCTGTTTCACACCTTTCTGCAATTGGATTGGTTTTGTGCTGTCTTCCAGGAGTAGGATGAGCATGGTGGCGTTTCTATACAAACACTTAAGCATGTCGATGTATCTAGAGTCGACATGGCACGGCTGAAGAGACCGCAGCACTGCCCAGGTTTCTGGCCAGGTCTGTAGTTTTTCAACAAAGTGTTATCTCCCTCTTTGAAGAATAGAACTACCACACTGCTTTGCCATGATTCGGGTAAGGAATTAATACTAGATGGTACTTACCATCTAGTATTAAATAACTTTTGGAGGACAAAAAGTATCGGTTTTCCATCCGCTCGCAGAAGTTCTGTTGTGATTCTGTCATTGCCCGGTGCCTTGTTGTTTTTAAGCTGCTGAGAGCCATCCTAATATCGTACAGGCTAATGTCTGGATTATCCTCAGTGTAGTGTCGTGTCAGCTTAGCTCTTGGATCCCCAAGCTGTACCAAAAATGAGTTGCCGTGTTGAGGTGTACAACTGTCCGTAGAACCTCTCGAGCTCTCTCAGAATCTCCGATTTCGATGAAATGATGCTACCATTCTCGGTCTTCAGCCTCGTTATTTGGCTTTGCCCAATAGACAATTTTTTTCGCTTGGTAGTCTCCTTAATTCGTGCAGTAGGTATTACATGCAAGCAAGTCGCGTCGCATGGCTTTTGAAAATCGCCTATTGAGGTTACCGTACTCGAACATATCGGCTGAAGACTGTAGTCTCATTTCGTTTCTGTGTTTCCTTGAACCTTTGAACCTTAATTTTTCGTAAGCTCCGTCATATTAATTGCTGCCCAAAACATAACAGAGCCTCATACATAAGGAGTGATTTCTATCAAACACAGTTTCTTGCACATAGCATTCCTGTGCTCTTCGCAGCACTCTCCGGCGTCGGTTCTCTCCATATACAAGAGATTCACATGCACGGTTGGCGCGGTGGCTGGGTAACTGGCTGCCGCGCAACTTGTCGCGGGTTCGATTCCCTCGCGGAACAACTCTTTGTGTGATCCACGAATTGTTGTTCCGGGTCTGGGTGTGATATGTATGTGAAATTGTACAGGAAAAATCCAAAAGAAAAAAAACAATAGGCACCTACTATATTTCAATCCTCCACAGTCCATAAGGCACAGTTCCGAGCAACACGGTGCTTAGTACGGAGTAAGTACCTAATTTAGGGCCCCGAGCTGGGCGGTAACTCCTAATATTGACAGCCAAAAGCCTCCTCCTGGCCGTCCAGCCGTCCACAAGCTAACTTCTACTCCTCTTACTTCTTCAGGTCAACACTTGACGAAGCCTTACGATTCATCAAAAAGTAGTTCTTCCCAAACCGGTCTCTTGATACCATTGCCAAGACCTCTGGACAGTTGAACGACTCACATTAAGCACGTAAGTTTACGAACAACCTTCTTCAGGGGCTTTAATTTTACCGGCCCTTATCACTTGGACACTCAAATCAAAAAAATAGTAGGGGAGAGTCGGGTAGCCACGGACACATAAACAAAACTCAAAATATTTTTTAAATGAACATTATTAGACATTTATTTAGAATCAAACCATTAAATAAAATATATATAAAGTATTTTAGTAGAAGTAACGATCAGATAATTCCTTAATCTTAACTGTAATCAAGTCTAATAAACAGTATTGTATTTTTAACAATATTTTTTTTGGCGCGTAGCCCCGGACATCATTTATTGGTGATGATCAAGTGGCTTTACGGCTTTTCAGACGTCACAAAAATAGTAAAGGATCACTATCTACGCATGCTTCATGCTCCCAGTCTTTGCATTTATGACATTGTATCAAATCTACTTCAAATGTTTCTCCACAAATAATGCACTCGGTATCTTGGTCTCTTGACAGTTCTTGGATGTTCCGTTTGTTTTCATTTTATTTTTCCCTTTCCCTTGGCCCTCTTTACAGTCTCTGCCGCTTCAGATTCGTTACCTAATATTGTGTGTGTTTTTTAATAAAGATTATTTAAATGGAGAAGATGACAGAATTTCGCTCTTTTGAGTTTTTCGTGAACGCGTCTTCGAATCTCCCTAGTTTTGGAACCAAGTTAACCTCTTGTCGAATATTAAGTGCTTTTATTCGATTCCGAAGAGTACTCGGCACCTGACACCTGCCATCTGCTTCTCCCAAAGAATAGTTGTTTTCTTTAACACTTGTTAATAATGTAACTGTAAAATACAATAGAATTGAGAACCTCCTCCTGTTTTGAAGTCGGTTAAAAAGTAATAATTAAAAGAAAACGTGGCGTTAGGGGACGATCCAAACATTTTACTAAACTAGGTACTTTGTCGGGGGTCTAACTTATTTTTTTATTTTATACTTTTTATAGGTATTTTATAGCATTTACTCTCGATTAAGTCATCAACATTCCCTTTCAGTGCGCTTTCATTTGACACTCCACTCGAGTATATTTACAGACCTTCGGTTTGAAACCAAAGGGTGAACCCGCGTGAGAGTAGCTAATAGGTACTTCACTTAATCATTTTTTTCTTTTATTAAATTTAAATTTTAAGTTTGGAATGTAAAGAATCATGCTAGGATGCTCCAAATAATATGCTCATATTATATCGTCAAATTAATAAAACTTAATTCCTTTTCTTCTTCATTGAAGTAGAGGAAAAAATCTAAAGTGTGCGCGTCTTTTGCAAGTTTGTTTATGTCAGTACCAATATACTCATCAGACATATTATTATGGCATCGCGGACTTTTCTGTAGACCTATATTAGAAACACAATTACACCATACATTATTTTGTTATATTTTAAAGGGTTTAAGACAGCGTTTTTGATTATTAAAGTTCCCAGAAAACTTTTTTTTTTCACTTTATTTTCTCTGGTTTCTCCCCTATTGATCAGGATAAAAATTAGACTGTTTTATTTCAGAGTATGACCTATCTAAGTACATACTAAATTTCAAACAAATAGGTCGAGCCGCTTTTGAGTAAAAGAATACCTACATCCATACATTCTCACAAACTTTCACTTTTGCAATATTGTAATATCTGTAGGATAAGAAATGTGTGTATTATAGGTATCTATACCTAAATTTACATTAAGTGTCCACCAGACGTCTTAGTAGCCGAGAATAAGAAAAGTATTATTTATGAATAATTTATTCGATAGATAAATTACCAAAGTACAACAAAGACAAAAAACTTGAAACAACGAATTTATTCGAAAACTATGTTACAATATGTAATAGTTATGCAGTAAAATAAATATATTGTGCTCCAAATAATTTATCAGAAAAATCATTGTGTCATCAAAACACAAACATGTACATTAAATATTTTATAATAATAATAAAAATTGAATAAGTAATTCATATTAATTAATAACATTAATTAATATGAATGCAAACTTGTTCATTGACACTTGTAAGTGTAAACAAAGTAGGTATGTACTTCGACTATTATATTTACTCTGGTATAATTTAAAAAATGGTGCAAGTAGTGCCATAGGCACCAAGTAACAGCAGAATATCTTTGTCAACATTTTATCTACTGCAAACAACGCATACGCAATCATTTTCTAGGTTTGCTTTTCAAATTCACTTTATCTAGTTTATCAAATTGAAACATATTGTTAGAGAGTGAATTACTAGAATACTTGCAAGTGTCAATACTTTAGTATAACTATTCTTATAAGATTACTTAATAGAAATGTACTACCTGAAGAACAATGCACATACACAATGTTAACATTAAAAAATAAAGAAACGAAGATCAAGAACAATTGCTTATCGCACAACCTTCTTCTTAACTAATTCAATAATTTAACATTTTAAATAATTACTTGTTGCTTTAATCAAAATGTCTTTTATCTCGCAGTGCCCAGTTTGTTTGCATGGCATTGGTAACAACAAGATTCTTATCTAAATCTCTTATAACAGGTCATTTTTTTATTCTGGAAATAATACTTGAAAACCATGACACAATTAATTTATATAAATCCACAATTGTAAAAATTAAAGGAGCATATTGATAAAAAGAAATCCAAACACAAACTGAATAATTTTATATACTATACACCAACAGCACAAATACTATATCAAAAGCTTTTGCCTTATGCACATAAATTTAGTTTTCTAATACATATTTATGTGACAATGACGAACCCAAATTAATTCGTACTATTTGCAAAATAAAGCATTATCCATTGAGATGTCATTGAAGTTGATTTGAAAGAGCATTAGCTATCTCAAGATACTTTTTTTTATTCAAGGGAACATTTAATATTAATCATTAACATGTAGAAGTAATATTCAACTATCAGGATATCTTATTAGAATTTATATAGATATTTCTCATAATCTACCACAGCTTTTTTTGTAATCAGAACTATGCTTTGGCTATGGGCACACCACCACTAAATACTCAAAATAAGTGAGAGGTTGTCTTGTGACTAAGATAATTTACATTAAATTTTATTTAATCATTCTTCTTATCAGCTGGTTGCTCTGCTTCTAAAATAGCTGGAGTACCATTCTTTACTTGTTTCTGCTGTTGTTCCATCTCACCAGAGAAACCAAATTCATTGACCCGCTTATGGTCAACCTTGTAGATCCAACGTTGGTACAAAAAGATGAAAAACACAATATCTGCAATAAAAATTCAATGTTTTAAAAATAATAATTTATAGCTATTATAAATTTTATCCACAAACCACAATAAGGCAATGCACAAACCACATTGTCTAAAGTTGTTGTTCCCATTTAGATGTTTGGTAAAACCAGATCCATATGTATATTGAAAATATATATATATAAATATATCTTGATTAATTATCTATAAAACATTTTCAATTTTAAAACAATTGAGGTAACTGATTTTTTTACAGAATAAACACTTACCATCTCTAAAGCAGCCCAAACGGTACATTGTTGGCATTTTAATGACAAAGGCGAAGATATCATCTATGAATGTATTAAGGAACTTGTATGTCATCATACGCCAAGGCAAATGTGCTACTGACTTCAATTTATAATTGATAAACAGTTGAGGTGTCATCATGATGAATCCGAATGTCAATAAATATCCATACATCATGTTCAATATGAAAGAATACCACCCTTTATGTTCCTGGTATAACAATGAGTACACACCATATCCAATTAGAAGTGGGAAGCATGCCCAACTCAGGTAGCGAAAAGCCAACATATCATATTGCTTTGTACTAGATTCAACATAAGATCCTTTATCAGTAAAACTAAGTTTTGGTATGCCAAATATACGCTCCTCTCTATTTATCTTCACATCCATAACTTTGTTAATTTTCCAGACCTCAATAAGCAGACCAATGAAACATGAAATTCTGACCATGACATTAGTTTCATTATCAAGAACATACAGTAACACTACTGTAGATTGGAAAACATTGAAAAATACTGATCTGACAGAAAGACCTTCAAGTGACTGCCTATTGTTCCAGAATTGGATATCATTTTTAAAAGCAAGTAATTCAAATATTGAATGTAAAACTGAAACACTGATAGTAAGTGCAAGCAAGTATGGCGAAGTGTCAAGTAGCAATTCCTTGACGGTGTCTTGCTCTTCATCTTGCTCTTCAGCCCCTAGTGCTGAAAACATACTCAATTTGTCTCTCATTGCTTGAGCAGTATACAACTGCCATTTAAACAGACTCAAAGGTTGAAATGTAAGCTCAAGATTCAATAATTCAGAAGTTTTGTTGATTGGTACATAATCTCGCATCATATTCCAGTAGTCATTCAAGAAAACTGCAGGCTTATACTGTTTTCCATCTGGTAAAAAGAAGATGAACTCATCTAATGGAGGTGGAACACTCCCTTGCATCCAATTAGTTTGGTCTGTTACCAAATTGACAGTTAAATTTGGATGCCAATGTGATACTATTTCCTCTTTAAGGGTTTCAGCTTTAATTATTTCTTCAGCCGATTTTTCTGTTTGCCCTGTCAGTAAATTGTGTGTCTTCATATAGCGCAATTTCTTGTATTTATTAAGCATTTTTTTCCCATATGTAATATATGGTCCACCATAATCATTTTTATTTTTAGGGTCAGGTGATTTTCCAGATTGTACCACAAAAACATGAAGATAAATTGATCCATTGTTCTTTAATGAATCAGAAGGCTTAATGGTGGTAGAGTGAGTGAAGGTACCATCATTATTAGGGCCTCCAAGCCAGTCACCATAAATAATTCCAGTTTGTTTCCAAATTAAATCAGAGTCATCTAAGTTTGAATAAAATTCTCTTTCTGATACATAGCAATACATATCTAAAACAGTCCCGTTAGCAAACATATTGATAGCGGGAACCCGAGGGGCTGCTGTAGGATTGCTTAAGTCAGTCTTGGGCGCTGATGGTTGCCGAAACATGGAAGTTATGAAATAAACCACTAATGCTCTAATAATCAAGGACTTCGTGATGGCGAAAAATGATTCCATCTTAGTTGGCTGCATCCTGCGCCTTTGTTCATCGATTTGGGCATTGACCTAAAACAATATTGATAAGATTACTTTTTTTAATAACTGGTTGTGATTTGACCTCCATGGCACTCCATTTTTTTTCAGGTTAACATTTTCGTGTAAACCTTACTCTTTCCGATTTTAAAGAAACTTTTTATATTGAGATTGGAAGCGTGGTTGTAATCATGGAATACAAATACGTATACTCACATCAACAGCATCTTCAGAAGATATATTCGCTTCCACAACACTGTTTTCATTTGTGACTTCGCCTGGGGGACTGTTAGAAGAATTAAGATTATCAGTTTCCGCCATACTGATTATTTAGGTATTGCTGGATTACTTATTGCTTTTATTATAAATAGCACTCAACATTTGCTTTTAAGACAAGATAATCTCATCGTTCTCTCTCTACGTTTCTTTCATGAAATGAAATGGGATTTTCTATCAATTCACTTGTCACTGACAATTTTTTTATCCATTACTTATTGGCATTTAGTTTTAGGCTTTTTAGACTTCATCAGAGTTGCCATATCACAACATCGCATTTGTATAACCAATATCTCTGAGTTCTCTGTCTGACTAGCTTAGAGTAATCTGTACTTGAAAACTCAGCAGACTAAACATTTATTATTGGTAAAAAAAGATTGATCAATATTGATTGATCCTCCTGCAATTTATAATTTTAATTACAGGTTGAAGGTCAAATCAAGTAGCTATTTAATTGTATGACAATATTAGAGCAAAGGAACGAAACTGCGTTATAGCTTACAGTTTACCTTTTTTTTAGAACATGTCAGTATTCATCGTTTTAATCTTCTTTATATATAAAAGTACTGTGTTCTTTATACAAGTACCTATGTCTGTTAGCGGGGTTCATGTAAGATCTCCCTGAAAATAGTAAAATAAATTTACTAGAAAATGTTTAACTTGTAAGCACACAGAGACCTTCTCAGTCTCATTACCTATACATATTTCTTAAATTAATTAGAAAGTTATTTGATATCACCACCTTATATTGTTGATTTTTACCTATTGTAATTTCTTTGTACCTTACTAACGGGTAGATTTGAAGAGAAACTTTACCGCGGCATAATGGATCATTCGTAAAATTAAATAACTTTTTTTTGTTATTTATTACCTTTCTGATTTCCTAGTGTAGTGCATTCCTCGGAAAATTAGCTTGAATGTAGTAAAAGTAATGAAAGAAGTCGGTTCGATACGAAAGGTAACACTGCGAAGGGGTCGATTGTGGAAAGAAGGTGTGGTTTGTCCATGTACCTATAGGTAAAAAAAGAAGAAGGAAGAAGGAGATTGCTGGCCAATTTATTATTATTGGAGAGTAGCAGGGCCCGTAGTACTTCCATAGCATGTCAATATCTAGGTACCTACAGCTATTGCAGCGTGGGCGACGTGGGCCACCGCCTACGGCCTCGCGGTATGTACAGCGGGCCTCGCGCCATCAGAATTTTTATCTTTCGTCTTCAGGTCGCCATAGAAAAGGGCGTCCCAAAATCTGTCTTGCCCACATTAAAATTAGGTCTAGCCCCGCCACTGTTCGTTACTTTATTATTTTCTACCACTGTTCATAATAGTCCTTGGGTTTACTTCTATAAACCGACTGATGTTCCATTTAAACAATTTGAATTTGTTAAACAGACCTTGTTAGGTTTAGCTACTCGTAGGTACGCTTACCATAGTTACGTGGTACCTGTGGTCATTCTTCAAATAATAATTATTTATTTATATCAGTCCATATCACAGAATAATAAATATCATCAAAACAAACTATGAAATATTATCCTAATCCAAACAATAAAATAATAATAATGTCAACCCGCAAGACAGCTTGTGACGAGCTGTTGGGCAGTGACGACCCCACGGACCTGACTCCCGGGAGGTGTCTTGTTCTTTATCTCTGGTTAGTCCTCATGACGAGCTGGAGTGAACACTGATGAAGAACAAGCCCTTCCACCTCATTCTTGCCTTAATTGGCTGGCTTGAGTGGAGATTCGCAAGAGTAGGAGTTGAAGGAGACTCGGGGGAAGGATGTATCTCAGTAAGGTGCTGGTAGGGGTCTTGACCGTACTTCCGGGATTGCTCTGATAGCCGTGGGATGCCTCTCCTTCCCCAAGCAGCTCAACGTATGTTGCTCCCGTGTCGCTACATGCTAGCGGCCGTTTCCGGGGGCCCATTGAGTTTACCAGTCACCCCCTGCCTGTTTATCCGTATGTAACAATATTGGTCAGGGGCAAGGGCCATAGTATTTCTATAGTTATCATCTACCAGTCCATAGCCACCCACACCCATATAATCTTTTACCATTTTGCACAATAGTCCTGCATCAACCGGGGATTGTCCTTGGGTGCACTTTTATGGTGCATACAGGGATAATTGCCGACTAATGTCTCATCACATTTATATTAAAACTGTTCAATGGGCCTCTGCGAGTTGGTTTCGGCTCCTCGTATGCCTTCCAAAGGTCAGGGACCCTGTGGTCCCGTGAAAGGAAAGAACAAATATCAATTATATTAAGTATATGAAGTGGTATCTAGCACTATCCACCTGTCCTGAATAGGCGAATATTACCACTCGGACAAGGACACAGTTAGTGAGTTTAAAAGCTGATCCTATTCTTTTCGTAAACTAGTTATGTAAAATCCACTTAGTAATTTATTCTTACTCGGTGCTACAACCACTATTATAATAAATCTGCTAGCTACCCACTCTCACGCGGTTTCACCAGCTGCTCGGCTCTATTTGATCGTAGCGAGATGTTTTATAGCATTCGGGAACATTGTAGTAATCTATCAGAGAAAGATTTTTTCCACAGATTACCCCCTACAGACAAACTTACAAATACATCTTTATAATATTAGTATAGATTACCTAGTTGCGTATTTATAATGTGGTCCTATGTTGCATTTCAGGCGTTATCGATTTGTAGGTGCTGCGTTGGGTCCACAGAGTTCTTTGAATATATTGAGATTGATTGAGTCTGCTAACCAACTGAGGGCCTGGTGCATTTTGGTTTACTTTAGAGCTGTTGACAAGTATATGACGTTCGGCGCTGTGATTGGCCTGCTTCAAATTGACCAACCCCGGCTCAACAGGCACCATACTATCCTATACTATACTGTGAAGTTTTTTATTAATTTTGTTTTAAGTTTTTATTCAATAACATAAATAAAACAATATTGTCATATTTAATGGTTTATTTGAAACACAAAATTGAAAGACTGACAGTTAATCGGACCCAAAATGCATTTGGAAATCTTACCAAATGTTCGGATTCCCAAACCATTACCAAATTAGTTTCGACAACATTAAACAAAACATAAAAAATATTACTAACAGCAAGTCACTTTATAAAGTTCGCCTAGAATCTACTCAGTAATACTCAGATTCTGCAGTGCATTATGTTGAATTTCCGTCACTGGTTTCCATCACAGAGATTTCATTACCTACATTTTGAAGATTACTTAAAAACATAGAAATATTCTACTTCCTCACTAGCAATGTAAATGGATGCATGATTTCCTGCCTATAATTAGAGGCCCAAACAGCCTTGTGCTTGCAAAAGATACCTATAAAGAAAAGGCTTCTTTCCTTACATTCATCACCTCACATTGTTCCAAGTGGTCCTCTGTACAATCTCTCACAATAAGGTATCATTTTGTAGGCACAAGATATAGAGACCAGTGTGAATGGCAACAGTCCACAAAATATGCTGAGTTTACTCAACTATTAAGTATTGTGAATGCTAGCAAGAGAAACTATCAGAATAAAATATTAATTGTACATTATATGTCATAAATAAAATGTTATGCCTTAAAGTTTAGCCAGTGCAGTATTGCAAGATATTAGTTGCAGATAGCAAAATACCAATGTTATGGTCATGCTTATTGACCTTAAAGGTCGTGTCCCGAGACTTAATCATTTTAGGGCAATATTGATAATGACACATCACAGACATTTAGACATAACGGTAAAACTTAAAAATTAAGTACCTATTAAACCTATATGTGAAAAAATGACACATTATGCTTGCCATCTTAATGAGCTGACCATTTTCTGTATTATGTTAACTAAATTAATTATGCTTACAAAAAACCTCTTAAGAAATTTGTTAGAGTATTTAAAAGGAGATAATTATGTAATAAATACAATTTCCGATTGCATTGTTTCAACTTCTAAAATTGATTAAAATGATTCATAAAACTATTATAAGGAATATAAGAATTCCTCAAATATTTAAATATATAAACAAAGGAACTGACTTAAATCCATGCAATATTGTGAACTGTCACCATTTCTGAGGTTAAACTACAATTAATCTTGCATTTCTTCAGGCAATTCGTGAGGATTAAGAATTCCTGGCACTAATAACTGAACTCTTCGCTTTTCTTCTTGTGCTTGACGAAGATTAAATAGGCGCTCTTCCAAAAACAAATCACTGTCATCTTCGCCAGTATACTCCTGTAATGGAAAAGATCAATACTATACAAATCATGTCTTAGTTATAGATGCATTCAGTGAGTGCTTGAAGAGTCCCCGAATGTTAGTTTTGCACAACATAAATCACCTTGCTAGATAGCCGTAATTCAAAGGGGAGACTAAAAGACTTGACGAAATATTATATTTATATATATATTACAATTCATACAATTATGGCTGCCTAGCAAGGTGTTTTTTATTTGTATGATAAAATGAAATAAATAATAAATTAAATATAATAAATAAGTTTTGTTTCGTCAAGTCTATTATTGCTATTATATATGTATATGCTTGGTTCAGAAGAACTTCTTATCAGATTAAAGAGACTACAGACTCCACGTTCTTGTCTCCCAAATTCCTCTTCACCACTACAAAGGATTGTCTTACTGTACATTGTGCTGACTTTCCCGTAAGCAGTTCAGATGGCACGCTGGTAAGTATTAATAACTATTACTACCACTACATAGTATAAAACAAAGTCGCTTTCTTTGACCCTATATCCCTTTGTATGCTTAAATTTTGATAACTGCACTAAGGACTACTGATTGAAGAGTATTATAGAGAGTATTAAGTAGAGTTGATATTTTATTTTATTTAGACTGGATAACGTACAGTATTACGAAAAAAAAAACAACAACAGTTAACCAAATATCAATTACATGTTTTCGTAAAAAAAAAACATTACATAGCATTGATAGCATCTAAAGAAAACGACAAGTACACTATTATTTAAGTCTGGAACAGCAAAAAACAGCTGTCAAACCAATATTTTTAAAGTATTTGATTGAATCGGATCGAATATATAATATAAGTATAGTAAACATCCATTCAATAGTGGAACAATTTTGTATCAACATTTCACCTAAGAATAACGATTGGATTTTAAAACTCTTTTTGAGTTTAGTTTATATTTTGTGTGTTGTGGCGTCATTTCTATTTATACGAATGGCATACTAATTTCTTAAAATTTTGAAATCTAAATCTTAAAATACGAAAGTTAAGTATATCGTTAAATCTATGAGGCTTCCGGCGACTGGGACCACGAAAAATCAATTATTCGAGCTAAAATTGGTACAGCCAAAAAAATAAAGTCAATAAAGGTTCGTGGTTTCTACCTGACAACTACCTAGTAAATATATACCATTATTAGAGCCAAGTACATGTCATTTTGTAAATATATCAAATATACTTGTGCAGCATAGAAAATGTAGATTCTTAACATAAAATCTATCTTCGCTACTACAGACTTGTTGATATAATTTAAATATGTTTAGTTTATTATTATTATTACATACTTCAGTTTGCTTACCCTTATTTGAACTAAAAAGTCTCTCAAGTGATCTTTAAATGCGGGAATATCATGATTCAGGTTGAAGAGCCCTTGAACAGTGATTTTAATTTGATTGTCTGTCAAATGAGGGAATGCTCTTTTCAGCAGGTTGGCCACATATTCCTGAAAATATAAAGATAAAAATTATATGACATCCTGACACAGGCATCAAATTGTAAGAATAAAGAAAGAGTAATATATAATATAAGGATAACATCATTCATTTCTATTATGTGCATATAAATAAAAGCTAGAAATAGAATTTATTAAGCACAAATCTTACCTGAATGTAGAGGACATTATCAGGTGTTGGTCCAAGAGGTACTTTAATTCGACCAGCTTCAACAATAGAGAAGATATATGCTAATATCGTAGCATGCATTGTAAGGCCAGCTCCATGAGATGTGTCAGTTACGACACTGAAAACATGTTCTAAAATGTCACACAAATAAGTTTGGTAAAAACTCTGTGCCGCCTGAGGGTGCAGCTCTACATTATGCAGCAACCGATATAAAATCTGAAGGCCAGTATCAGCCACATTTCTCATTGTGTGCTTAAATGCCCAGATAATGGAATCCAATACTAATTTGAACTGTGCTGGAGGTATGCTTAGGAATGCCTTAAAACAATGTGTATTCACTGCCTGCAATAGGAGGAAGAAGTCTGTTCTGTGCTCTGGATATTCTTCAAAGTCTTTGTTTATCATCTCAAGAGTACATTCAAAAACGGCATCAAATATCTTAGGTACTTCAGACGTTATATGCCCTTCTAGCTTATATACAATTGCTGACATGCATGACAAAACTTCAGGTTCTCGAGCATCTGGCACTGCAGTTCTTTGGTAATCCAAGAGAACAGCATCTAAAAGTGGAGGAATGAAATTTTCCAATACCATGCTTTTATCAGTAGAGCGTGATACCCAACTGGCAATCAGCTTAAGTGTCTCCTTCTTTATTATACGCATGTTCTTTATAAGTGGCTGTTTAGTTACAACAACGCCGTTCAAAGCAATGGCTTGGCTTATATTTTCAGACATTACTTTGTAAACATTGAGCATGTCCAGATATATTCTACCCAATTGCACAACATATGGATGCCCTAAAGCGCGACAGGCACGTACATTAGTTTTGAGAATGCTCACCAGCTGTTTGACAGCCTCTGGATCCTTCAAAATATCCACATTGTGAGATGCTTGAGATATTATATCATCCCAAACTTGATTAGGTAGAAGCATGTACTTCTCGATAAGCTGTTCTTGTGCCACTTGATCAACTTGTGCACTGATCATGTACCCTACAGCTTCATAGAAAGTGTGCACTTGAAGTGTTTGTAAATCACAGATAATGGAACTGATAGTGCTCAAGATTTCTTCAATAAATGGACAAGCTTCACCAACTTGCGCAGTCACGAAATGACGCCGGCATTTGATTGCAATTTTTATAAAGGTGTCACATGCCATATCTTGGACACCATCGTGAGTCTCGTGCATGAATTCGAAAAGTTTATTCACCACAGTTTTCAAAAACTTCCAATGAGCTCTTAAGAATCTAGGATACTGACCAACTACATACATTATGTTACTAGCAATAATAGCTTTATTATCCTTCCCTTTTTTCTGTTCGCAAAGTCCCAACAACTCTTTAATTACAACTACAAGAAATCTTTTCTCATCTTCCTCCATCATTGCGCCTGAGATAGAACCAATAGCCCAGCACAGTGTGTTCAGATTTTTCCATGACCATTCACTGCCATTTACTTGGTTCTGAAGTTTTTCAGTCATAATGCGTTCAGTATCTTGATAATCCAAATGTGTTAAATAAACTAAAGTTTCCCTCATATTCTTGTACAAATTAATTGAATCAGTGTCCTTCATAAACTCACGCACCACTTCTCCATTCTCATTCTCCACCACTAATACTTCTTCTGGCTTAGCCATTCTAGAGATCATTATGTAACGAACACTGCTCAAAATCTCTGAATACAATGCTTTCCTGCCTACACTCTTGCCAATTGAAGTATACAAGTTAGAAGTATGAGAACATGGTGGAACTTGGTATAAATCTGCTGCCAGAGCATACCAAAACTCCAAACAAATTTTAAAAATTTCAACTTCTTCTACTTCTGATATCAAAACGAGATACCGTAGAGCATTCATTAGAGTGTTTGTAAGCCCTCTACTTTCAATAAGTTGTGCATGATCTTTTAAGTATGTGCAAAGGAATAATGCAAGATTTTGGATAAACACCTGTTCTTGATCTCGACCCGCAGCATATGCTTCACGTATATTGGTAGTGAGTGGGAGCATTGCTTCAAGTTGCTCCATAGTTTGCACTAGAAGAGCAACAAACTGTTCCTCATAGTTGCTGACTGTCACACCAGCAATCTCTGTCAAACAGCTAAGGGTTACATTTCTGAACATTGGTACATTCAAAAACTTGAATATGAGTGTGCTAATCAACTTCATTTCAAATATATATCCAAGGGGAATCCAATTCAAAAATCTTAGAAGAGTATGTAGTGTTGCATCCACTAGTGGAGCATTTTGTGAATTTTCAAGGACAAATTGACAGAGCTGAAATATCTGACTGAATTCTGAACACATAGTGTCTTTTAAGTGTTTTGCTTTTGTTTGCGTTAGTTGTCCAGTGCTGAAAACAAATACTTCCTCACTAAGCAGCTTCAAAATTACCATGTTGTTTTGGCAAAGGCTTTCATTTGTCTTTGATGCACCAACAATATCACTTATAAATGTATCCCAGTTATGAGGCCATTCTCGTTTCAATACTTGGATCAAGATCATATTAAGTTTTTTCAAATAAACCTTGTTGTTTTCCATCGTTACTGGGTCTGATGAGTTTTTGATAATGAGACCAACTATGTATTTTTTAATGCCTTCACACTGGTTTCTTGGTAATATTTTCCATCTTGTTTGAATAACTTGCTCTAATATTTGTAAGGCATAGTATTTTGTTTCCTGGTTTTGTGAATATTCCAATATAGTATCAACACGAGTCCAGGCATCAGGGTGTTCTTTTAATGCTGTCAGTACCTCCTGTGCTGTACGTTGCTGTTCTCCAACAGTCGAGTACAGACATCCAACTATATTATCAAGAAGAGTGATGTCTAATTTCTGATTGAAATCCAAAAGTTTAGAAGCTTGTTGCTCTAAAGTTGCCATTCTGCTTGTTACGACTAATTCAAAATTTGATCCCTTTATTGAAAATCAAAACTCTGATAATTTTTCACATTCATTCCTCACCTTACGAATCACTGAAAAAAACAATTCGCGAATTAGGAAATACTTTATGAAGCTATAACCTCTCCATGATGCATAGATAATTATTGAGTATAAGGATTGAGAAATATAACAAAATTTTTATCAAATTAAGAGTTACAAGCAAAAAGGTTACCAAAAATGTAATAAGTAAGTCAATTACAAATACTTCTTGAGTATAAATGAAAATATAGAGCACACACCCCGCATAGATACTGAGGATGTTTGCTAAGCATCGTAACATCTCCAAATGACAAAAACTTTTGTTTGTTCATGATTCAAGATTCTAAAGAAAAGAAATAGTTTAATGATTAAACTAATAACTTACCCGAGAATATAATTTGCGGCGCAATCAGTCTAACGCACTACCATACATACTAATCCGTTGTTTTCGTGAAGCTTGAAAAAGCTAACACGCATATTGTCTATGGTAATTATATTATTTTTTTTTCTATAAAAAAATTAAAAACATTTTTTGTCTCCTTATTTATTTTAAAATATATTTTTTTTACAAATTATTATTTTCATATGAAAATGGGACTTCTAACACACACAAAGTCGGACACATATAATATATCACATAGACAAACTGGGAGTCGGACTGTACCATTGAGATAGAAAATATTTCCTATGTCTATGGACTGTACCAACCACAGATTACTACTATTGAATTGACTATATAGTATACCAACCGCAGAAGTCCACACCGTGTAGAACTATAAAATATTTTTGGATCAGTGTTACCAATCTTCACACTTATTTCTATCCTAACAAAACCCTATGAACACTACACTGCTAAGAACCTACCACAGACCTACAATAATAGAAACTACCGATCATTGTACCTCACCTCTTCAGTTTCAGAGAAGTCTCAGTCTCAGTCGGTATTGGAATATATCGATATAATCGAATGAAGGCCCTTGCGAAGGTATGTAGCTTAGCTGTGGGTTTCTATAGCTTGGACTACCGTCGACCATCTTCTTTTGCAGTCGACCCACTATTACATTTCTACCCCTATCAATTTGATGATTGGCAGACATTCTGCAGGGGGGGGAAACTCCCATATAAAGAGCATTGCAAGTTTACGATGCTGCCATCTCTTAGTCTTGAACCCTAATTTTAATTTACTAATAGTTTTAAGCAACCAAACAGATGGCGTTGTATTGCATTTTTTTTTTCAAAGTACTTGTATTTTTATAATTGTATTTCAGTATTTTATTTATTCAAAATATTATGTATGTTTAAATAAAACCTACACATAAGCTTAATTTATTAATCATTGTCGATCCCACGGATGCCAGACGCAAAAATTTTTAAAGGCTTAAAGACTTGTATCCAAAACACTACAAAATATGACATTTGCAAATGGCCGTTGTTTTTCAACATTACTTGTCGTTTATTTTTGAATTCAATTTGGATTTTTTATTTTTATCAATTGAGAAAATGCCTACTACAAGACGATGTGTATTTGGGTGTAAAACAACAGGTAAGACTGCTAATTTGTCAATTCGTTCTTAGATAATAAGGACTAGTGATATAGAATAATTGAGGAGAAACTTTTCAAAACGGGTTAGGTGCATGTTATTTGTCACAAAATAGAAAAAAACTAATTGTAGGAAAACCTTTTAGTGCACAGAAAAGTAATGTTACTATTATGAACTACATAATTATTTTTTTAGGTGTTACCGTCCATAATTTTCCACAACCTACAAAAGATCCAGACCGGTTCAAGATCTGGGTAAATCTGGCTGGATCGTTGTTGAGGGGCTTGTCTGATGAAGAGATTTTTCACAGAAAGAAAGTTTGTGACGTACATTTTAAACCACAAGACAGAACCAGGAACAATCGCTTGAGTGCGATTGCTGTACCTTCATTACTACTGCCAGGTAATTATTTACATACTTATGGTGAAAGACATTTATTTCCCAATAAGACTAAACTAAATTCTTTGTGAGAGAAATTTGTTTTTGTTGTAAATTGCACCTTTGCTCAATTGTATACATTTTTCAGGCATTCACCACACAGCTATACCTCATCAGACCATAGATGTACCATCCACATCATCAATTATTGATATGCCTTCAACATCAATCATAATGCAGTCAGGTAAATTACATTTTGAATACATAATATTGACTGTACCACATTGATATGAAACCTTATATATCAATGTTGTACCAATGCACATTATCGTAACTCGTGCTTTACGTATTTTTATTCAATACAGTATAACAGTAGTAACTTCTCTTTGATTGTGGGAATCCCTGCTTTCTCTGAACATCTGATTTAAGAATTGGAAATTCTCCGTTCTACGACTTTGTTCTATGGGGTTTTACTCGTTTGTTTCGTTTGTTCCACATGTTTATCTTGGCTGACAGCTGTGTTTTAACGTTTGTTAGAGATACATACATAACGTTACGTTAAAAATGCCGCCTATAAAGAAAAAATCATTGCATGCACGCAGTTATTGAATATTTTCTTATGTTTTTCCAGGAATTGCCACAGTAAATGTTGCAACTCATCAACCTTTCACAGCAACAAGCATTAAGACCCCATCAAAATCAATCAGTATGAAGTCAGGTTGGTTTAATCCTTTGAATAGTGTGTTCTGCAACTTGGAGCTTTGAGATATAGATTATAGACCTATTTGCAAATAAGAAATTTCATACTAAACCGATTCATATAGTTACCCATTTATAGTTAAAAGTGAAATGAACAATGCATATTAATTATTAATAACGTGTGTCGTGTACTCATAAAATATATTATTTCCTTTTCAGGATCAAAATCACGATGGCTCTTCACTAGGACGACAATAAGACAAATTAAGAATTTAAAAAGAGAGATATTAAGATTGAAGAAAAGAGGAGATATGTACAAAACAAGGATCGAAAACGCTGAGAAGGTCTCCAATAATAAAGCTTTCCAAATTATTACTGCAAAAATGAACTTGCCTACAAAAATTTTTACTGGTATGCAATATCGCGAAACCAGGAAAAAGCCTAAAGGACGTCGTTTTACCATAGACGAAAAAATATTATCCTTATCGTTTTACAAAAGAAGTCCTAAATCGTATAAATTACTGTCAAAATGTTTTACGTTGCCATCGGCAAAATCTTTGAAGAAGTTGCTTGCCAATATTAAAATCATGCCAGGGATCAATAAGTTGATTTTCGCGAAAATTCATGATTCTGTAGCGAGTATGAGTGAAGATGATAAGCTGTGTGTTTTAATTTTTGACGAAATGTCTATTACGCCTCAAATTCAATATGATGCTGGAAATGATAAACTTAAGGGCTTTGCGACATTAAAAACTTCCGATCAATTACAAGTAGCCGACCATGTCCTGTTATTTATGGTGAGGGGCGTAAAAAAGAACTATAAGCAGCCAGTGGCGTATTATTTTACGCAAAATTTGAATAAAATAGAATTAAAAAATGTAATTAAGGATGTAATTAGAAAAGTATTTGCTACTGGCCTTAAAATATTGGCTACTGTATGCGATCAATGCACAACAAATGTAGGGGCTATTGAAAGTTTAATTACAGAAAGTAAAGAAATGTTTCTGAGAAAAGGAAAAATTTGGAGAAACGATTTTATCGTGTTCAATAATGAAAAAATTGTACCATTATACGATGTGCCTCATTTATTGAAAAGATTGCGTAATAATCTTTTAACGAAAGATTTGGTTTACTTAGATCCTGAAGAAGGAAAACAAAAAGTCCTTAAGTGGGATTATTTCCAGCAGCTATATGAGGCTGATAAAAGCTATGGACATTTAAAAATATTACAAAAGGTTACAGAAGAACATATTAATAGAGAAAAAATTAACAAAATGAAAGTGAAAACCGCAGCTCAAGTCTTTAGCCACAGCTTTGCTATTGCAGCGCAACATCTTTACGATTCAGGAAAAGTTGGCTCAGAAATAATGAACATTAAACCATTTGTTTTAATGATGGATCAATTATTTGACAGCCTAAATTGTAATGTTTTTGATATTAGCAATAGTAAAATCTACCGGGCAGGTGTTAAAAAAAAATCTCCCCATCATCAACTATGGATAGATGCGATTAAATTTTTAAAAAATATGAAATTCTTAGAACAAAAAAAAACGGGAGACAAAATTCGTTTAATCGAAAAAACGGTGCCATCGATTAAGAATTTCATTAAAACTATTGAAGGAATGCAAGTTATTTGGAAAGTTTTATCCGAAAAGCATGGTTTTGACATTATGTTGTGCAGAAACTTTAATCAGGACCCGATTGAAAATTTCTTCGGGAATGTAAGAAGTTTAGGGGCCAGAAATGTAGCACCAAATTGTGTAAGTTTTGAAGGCGCATATAAATCTCTTTTATTAAATAACTTTTCATCCTCGCACTCAATTAAAGCGAATTGCGAGGAGGACATCGCTACATTTCTGCAGTCTTTAAACTTTTTATTAGACCAAAAAGAGACGACTGAAAAGTTAGACAGTAAAGAAAATGACCTACCTCTCCAAATACCTATAAGCAATAAATTATTAGACGATGATGTAGAAATTCGAGAGGCAGGTTTTGAAATAAGAAATTACGTATGTGGTTGGGTATTAAAAAAATGTTTCGCACGAATTTGTAAATCTTGTAAAACCTGTAGACAGGAACTGCAGTCAAATGAAACTGATGGTAGCTCACTAATAAAAGAAAAGGAATATGTAAAAGGGAAAAAATGGCTTGTATATCCCTCAAAAAATCTCTGTACCTATTTCTATGAAATACAGAAAAATACTACAAATGCTTTAAAAAACAACGTAGGCACAGAGAATACAAGACTTAATATTAAAATTATAAATGATTTCTTAGTAGAAAATTTCCATGTAAAATGCGAAAAACATAATGATGCATTTAAGAAGTATTTTGAAGAAAATGTAATAAATATCTTAATTTACAGTTGGTGCCGTTCAATTAATAGAATTTTGGCGGGAAAAATAGTTTATAATGGAAATGATGAAATTAAAAAAGCTGCTCAAGTATATTATAACAAACACAAACATTATAAAGCAAAGAAATAATAAACCAATGAAATTTTAAATATTTTTCCAGCCAAAATTCTATTAATTGGATATTCTGTGAATATTCCAAGCGTCTACCAGTTGTCGTTATTAAGATCGAGAAAAAAAATACAAAAAATGTATGGGAGGGAGCCCCCTTAAATATTTATTTTATTGTTTTTAGTATTTGTTGTTATAGCGGCAACAGAAATACATCATCTGTGAAAATTTCAACTGTCTAGCTGTCACGGTTCATGAGATACAGCCTGGTGACAGACAGACGGACAGCGGAGTCTTAGTAATAGGGTCCCGTTTTTACCCTTTGGGTATGGAACCCTAAACAGCACACATAATAAATCTACTACGTACATACTTTGTATCTTTACCAAAACT